CAAATTGCGGGGGGTGGTGCTGGCCCCTGTATCCACCCCCCTACACACACAGACAGACTTTTGCCCTGCCTGAGCCTCTCCTTAAGGACCCAAGCAACACTTGTTAAAATGCTAGTTTCTCAATAAGAGCAATTACTGCAGGAGCAAAGGAGTCATAAGGAATAGTCATATTTATTGTGCATGAGACCTTACAGGGAAAGAAGTTTAATAGCAGCTTTGTTCTCAGTATCTTGAAATTCCAGTGTTTCAGTCTGGTATAATGGACTGTCTTAGTAACCATTGTTAACAGTGTGCCTGCTAATACAATATGATATGAGGAGGTGACAATTAGCATACCATCCAAGAATAAGCTTATTTTACATAAATGGGAATAAAACACAATAACTTTAAATATTATTAGAAGGTCACGCATTACATTTGGCCTTACTTGAAACAGATACAGGCAAGCCTAATAAGACATTCAAAAGGGACATAGACCAGAAAGGGTAGGATGGGGAAAGTTGATGGCCTAAAGAAATATCCTGAAAAAATTGTATATCTATCCTGCACCTTCCTGGGTCTTTTTGAAAAACTGTGTGTTATATCTGAAAACCTTTCCCAGGCCTGAACAGCTCTATGTAATCTTGAAAACTAGTCTTGCCAACAGAAGTTGTTCTTGTAAAAGAAATTTTCACCCACCTTGTCTCTCTGTTATATCAAATAAATGTGGTGGTGTGGTTTGGAAAGATTGCATATCTAGAAATGCTGGTTTTCACTGAACCTGTGATACAGTGGAACACAGTGCCAGAGAGGAAACAGCCTAATGTGCTTATTCTAAAGTGTTGAAAATAAAGATAATATGGTCTGTGTGCTGACACACAAAGTGACTAGAATGGTGATGAAGGTTCACACCTTTTACTCCCGTCTGTCAGGAGAATAAGCCAGGAAAGAGCTACAGAGGTAGGGGAATCATCTCTGATGACCAGTGAAGTGAGTCAGATTAGCTCTCTCTGTCAGCACCTTGTGGTCTAGTGGTAGACACTAGAAACACAGACAGCCTCTGAGGATGTCTTATAGTTTATTTTAACCAAATTAGTAACTACAAGATTTTATCCTCTCTAATCTGGCTGTTGGCAAGACCTGGACTAAATAAAGACCTAAAAATAAATAGGCATTGCCCTCTCAAGCCTTCGCCCAGGAAAGAAAAGAAGAGAGCTTTATAGCAAGGGCTGTGCATCCCCTTTCCCATCTCTCATATGATCTTGCAGAACTATCACCATCACACACATTTTTCTAGTGGTGTCTTGTAAGTCTGGGCACCAACAGTAATTTAAATACCTGCATGCAAGGGGAACATTTTCCCCTCATGTTATGCCCTACCTAATTTCCATAGGCCATTTTCCACGCCCATCCTGAAAGTTCCTTGATTACTTTGTATGCCTTCCCATGCAGTTTGCTTGGCTAACAGTCTTTATTAAAGTAAACAGAAACCTCCAGCTGCTCACAGAATTCAGTCACAACCAACTTCAAACAAGTCTTATAAAAATTGCAAAGGTATGGTTGTATTGTGCCCTTGGGAATGCTTGGGCATGGTAGCAAACTCTCCTTACCTAAGAATGGACTCTTAGGCTCTGTGAATCTGGACACTTAAGCTACATCTAAACTCTCTGGTATCCTGGAAAAGCAATGCCATGTCCAAGGAACATGTCCACTTTTCCAAAAAAAATTTTAAAAAAGCAGATGCACATTTTCACCATCCTTGTAAACCTTGTTCTACAAGGCATAAGGGATGTGTGGAAAGTGCAGGTTTTTCTGAAATTTGGTGCTGTGAAAACACACCACATTTCAGAAAAGCCTCTTTTGAATTTTTTTTAAAAGATATGCAATTTGCGTACTGCAAACTGCATATCTTTTTCCAGTTTAACTCTGCAGTCTAGACATAACCTTAGAAGGGTTGATGGGATGGATCAGCAAGAGGGAGCTGGTGAAATGAGAACGTAAGGCACCCCTTTATCCTGTTAGTTCTTCCTGCAGAGAGAGATTTTCCTCAACATGGAGGTCTGCCCAATTTATGATGGTGCGGGGTAGAGTTTTGCTTTGGACCCAAGGGGTGCACAAGATTTCTTTTCATAATGCATCAAACTGCACTGCTACTTTTTTGGGTCCAAATAATGTATGGCAAAGAGACATTAAGAGACAGGTAAGCTGGACTGAAAATACACTTTGTTAAAATTTCAAAATCAGTAGTGAGAGAGACTGTTGTTCTTCCAGATGACAGGAACTACAGAAAAGAAGGCTCTTGCACCAATAGTGGTAGCATTGTGAGAAGTGCCAGATGAGCAGAAGAGGGGAACAGAGCAAAACATGGAAGGTCCAAGAGGAGGATTAGTTGAGTTCTTGAAGACCTTTAAAACCAAGGAGGATCATGATGAGTTGGGTCCTGAATTAATATAAAGCTCTTTGGGATGGAGGGCTTTTAAAGACTTTTGAGCACAAGTAATATGAGGCCAGAAGTTGTGTTGTTAGTATTCTCATCCCCAGCATGCCCAAAAGGATCCTAAATAAAAGTATTCACACTGCCTTAGAGATGGTAAATGTTTATTTCTTGAAGTACTAATCTTCATTCCCTCCTAGACATCATGTTACATGTTAAGAGAATACTGAACACTGAAATGTACTGTCTATAACCAATGCAGAGCACCTAATAGGGAGTATAGTGATGGAAAGAGGCAAGGAAACCAGCAATCTTTCTGTTTCATATAGATAGTCAGATTTATTGGACTGAGAAACTTAAAGTATTTGACTACAAGAAAATTCCAGCCTTGCTCAGCAGTCTGAATTTTGGAAAGATAAGCATTTTCATCATTTACTGAAAATGCATCTGAATATTAAGTTGTCTGTTTCTGTTTGTTTTTATCACTCCTCTAGCAGCATCCACCTTGCAACAAAGGTGAACTCATTTGTGACACTGGAAGAGTAGGAGAACCCCTGTGTCAGAGGCCATAACCCAGCTATCATCCAGCTGTATCATGATCACTAACAAGAGCTTGGACCTTTAATATTTACTCAGAGCATTTAATTTTTAAACATTTTTTTCAATATAGTGTAACAGTGCTAAAATAACTGCAATAGAATTGCAAGGAGTCCAAACTATGTTCTTTGTTTCAATGAGATGGCTGCCCGCAGCAGAAGACTAAAATCAAAGTTTGTAGGAGATTTCACATGTAACTGAAGTTTTGTCTTATGTTTTACAATTATGAAACAATTTTTTTCATTTACTTGTTGCACTTTCAGACCCCTTGGCAAAGGCTTTCTTTGCTAATTGGATTTTAGTTGTTTGAGGGTTTTTTTGGAAGAGGTGGGTTTCTTTTTTTATTTTTTTAAATGTTATAAATGTTTCATAGTATTTTAGAAGACTGAAAATAAAACTTCTCCTTCCCTATTTTGTTTGACTCATGGAAAAGTGTGTGTGTGTTGATAGTATGGCAACAGGTGCCCTGTATCCTTTTTCATTTACTTCCCTTTTCATGTAATTTGCGATTTTTTTTAATAATGTAGCTCTCTACTGAAGCCATATCAATACATTTTATACAACTCAAACTAATAGTACATAACTCCAAGATACCATCTCTGTTAATCTTGGACTCATTTATTTTGCTGTAACATTCTTCTGTGTATTTTTCAAGTTATGATTTAAGAAAAGCTCCAAATATCAAATAAAGCCCAGACACAGCAAACTTAAATAATAGGTTTATAATTTTATCCCATATCATGACACCCAGTTCTGATTATATTTGTTGTGAAACAACTGAGGAGCTGTGGAACAATTCTCCTTTGTACTGTGCTGACACATGCAAGCCTGTTGGTTCTACATTAGTATTGTCACATGTGATCCTTATGTCCGACCTTCTCTCGTTACCCTGTTGCAAGGTTGGAGGAAGAATTAATCTTGTTTCTGGTAAGGAGAGTCATATGTAATGGGGAAAGGGAGACACAAGTGAAGTCTTGAGGCAAGAGTGTCAAATTATTTAATAAAAGAAACAACTTTTTGGAAATGCAGATTTGCATTAGAGGCTGCCCCTCACTGATCTTTGATTTTTTTATTTATTTATTTTTACAAATTTGCCTTCTGACTTTTTCAGTCTTTATAAATCACATTTTCAATCTTTTCTCTACAACATCTGACTTTTTATTTAACTGAAAGAAGAGATTTTCATTTTATTACATGACTCCAGAAGCTGGGGCTTTAAAATACATCAAATATTGAAAGACTTGTGGCAAAATCACTTGTTGGTGACACTGCAATGAGTAGAAGATTAAGTTGCTTCAGCTTGTACACATGATAAATTCACAAGACAATGCTAGTTTTTCAAATGATATTTGTTGTTCTGAGTTTTCTGGGGATGGAGGGGAATGGAGAAAGAAGCAGTTTTCTGTGCTACCATTTTATTTATCAATAATTACAACCCTGAGTTCTGTCAAACTAAATGGCAAATTCATTACTAATTTCAAAGTTCAAAGTGTTCTGTAGTCTTCCACTTATTCCTCTCACTCATAAATAACATTTTTTTAGTGTACCTTTTCATGGTTCTTTCCAGCACTATCAAGTTGTCCTTGATAGGCATGAAAATCCATCTCCCTAAAGGAACTGTGATTCAAGAGGTCAGTGTATTGTCTGTCTCTACAAACAAGGCCCATAAAATACTGCTTAGCACAGGGATCTCTTTGCAATATGAAAAGTTTATATATATCTGGTAAGTGCCTGGATGTCATACCTGAAGGAGATGAAAGTAACGAAAATAAATGCACTGGATTATTGAACTTTTGACAGAATGTTAAGGAAAAGGGAGAAAACTACAAAGAGAGCAGTTGCTTCTGCTTTATGAGGCAGTTCCCCACAACGATTTTTTTGTAACTTTTGTAAATTTACTTGTGGTAATTTCACTGTCTAGCTTGATAACAGTGCAGGAAAAATATTTGAGGTTCATACTTTCTTTCCTGTTAATTTTTAATCCTAACAGGACCTGTGTGTATCCCAGCCACAGTTCTCACCAGGACTCCAAGTTTTTATTGAACAGGTCAGTGTGAAAGGGTAGAGCTTTGGGTGAGTTTAGTGCTTGTGGAAGGGTTTGTGTTAACAGTCTTCAAGACTGAAATCCCATTCTTCCAAAGACAGATGAAAGTACAGCAAAGGCAGGGCACGCTTCCTCTTATGAGCCACTTGTCAATGTGCCTCAAACTGAATCTGGAAAGAAAAGAGGAGACTAGATTCTCTGACTCCAGGCCTCATTCAGTTCTTGGCCTGTAGGGAATACGATCTTAGAAGGCTAGCTCTGGTGATAGCTTTTGTGATGCTGTCTCTAGGAGCTGGTCTGAGATCCTAAAATATTGCATGTAGGTCACAGAAAAGCTGTTTTATGGTAAGAACTTTCACTCACTGCTGATCAAGAGTGTTTGCAAGCTGGTAAACTAGCGGTGCTAAATTCCATGTCCCATTGCTAATTCCCTGAGTCTGTCGGTCCCCTGTGGTAAATTAGATACAGTATGCTGGCCCATTTTCTAAATCTACCTCAGCCTTTATTCAGTGCTCAGTAATATTTTTCAGTAATCCCTTTTGTAGAATCCAGCAAAGCTGTATGATGTCAGTCTTCTAACTCTCCTTCCTGTTTTCATCGCCCGTCCCCCCCCCCCCACCCCCAAGCCAGTAAATTGGTGTAGTAGTTTACCAGCTCTATTTTCTCCTTGACATGTGCATGAACTCTCCCCAGCACTAATAAAAATTGTACCAGTAGCCCAGTACTGGGAGCAGAAAGACCATCAGTATATACAAGACCCATATGAATTTTTTGTTATGCTTGAGAGCACAGGACGGGCCATAGGGAATCTGATCATTAGTGCAAGCCAGTAAATTGGTGTAGTAGTTTACCAGCTCTATTTTCTCCTTGACATGTGCATGAACTCTCCCCAGCACTAATAAAAATTGTACCAGTAGCCCAGTACTGGGAGCAGAAAGACCATCAGTATATACAAGACCCATATGAATTTTTTGTTATGCTTGAGAGCACAGGACGGGCCATAGGGAATCTGATCATTAGTGCACAAAGACTGATATGCTGTCCCCAGCCAGGGTCAATACAAGATGTCTCTATTTATCTAGAGTTTTATATGAGGTCTATCACGATGCTCTCTAGAGGCATGGAAGTGTCATGTGTGTAGGGGTTGCCAGATACTTTCACAAAAAATACTAAACATGCTGGGAGGAAAATTGGTTGAGCAACAAACAAAAAAAACGGGACCAAAGTTGTTGAGGGGGAAAAAAAAGACCAAATCACTGCCCCTTTAAATCACCATGCTCCCACCCCCCCAGACGCAGCAGGTAGTGTTGCCAGATGGTTTCAACAAAAATACCGGACACACTTGACATTACATCACAATCTACATTACATCTTATTCAGAAAATACCGGACATTTCTATTTTCTCAATTTGTTTCCCAAACAGAAAGCTCAAATACTGGACTGTCCAGTTCAAAACCGAACACCTGGCAACCCTAACTGGAAGTGGAATATTACTCATGTGGTGTTCTGATGAATTGACTCACTATCCAGAGTCCTTAGTAACCTGATTGTTGTAGGAAGTTCTCTATTCTGTCTACATGTGGGCAGCCACAATTTGCCTTTTAGATCCCTTACTAATTTCATATAAATAGGAAAGTGAAATTCTGCTCCCAATAATTTTCCTCCAGCAGGACCCTGTGCACTCCCTGGCACGTTGTCGCCATAAAAGTTGACATCAACCCTTAAATTCTTATAGCAATGTTAACATTTTCTGTTGCCTAGAATATCCTGGGTGCCATCCTTCCACTCTCTCACAAGAATACATAACTGTAATGATTGGTTTATACTTGGCTTTATGAGATGTAACTAGCCTTTAATTTGGATGTAGTTGGCTACCATGTGGAATAAGAAGGCTGTGTGATGCCCATTCCAGACTACAAATTTAACTCCACAATTGTCACTCTTTGCTGTTGGCAAATTTGCCCAGAATCATGAGGCTAAACCTCACCTGGTTCTTTACAGCCATCTGAAGAGACCAGATGGCATCCTATGAAAAAGGGTTTTGTTTCTTAGTATGATGTTTGTCTCTAATGCAGCAACCAAATCCAGCATTTTACCCTATTTCTTCACATGTTGAAGTCCTCATTTGTGTCAGACCTATTCTGTTTTATGATAATTATATCTGTTTACTGAAGTTATGATCAAAACATTAGTTGCTGCCAACACCAGCTCTGCATTTACATAAGATTTATTTTTCAAAAGGAACTTTCTGAGAATGAAGGACTCCGACTTTCGTACAGCTGTAAGATTAATCCTGCTTGAAAGCATAGCTGCTTATTTGGAAAGGAAATCTGCAGTTAGGAATCCTTTTGCTAGCAGTAAATAAATTCTATCATGCTTATATTTGCCCTTAAGGTTTAAGGCAAGTTACCCAGATTTTGTCCAGTCCGGAGCCATGTTCATACCTTGTCAGAAGCTTGAGAGACACCTTTATTTCATGTACTTTGCCTAAATTGAAGCTAATTTTATTTTCCTTGTTTTTTTTAATAGAGACAAACAGATCACATAGAGCATGGGTTCTTAACCTTTTCCTTTCAGAGGCTCCCTATTGTGCTGTAAAAACTTCATGGCCCACCAGTGCCACAATAACTTTTTTTTTTCTTCAATGTAAGAGCCCAGGCCAATGTTAGAGGATAGAAAGCAGGGCAGTTGCCTGTGGCTTCATGAAACAGGGCATCCAGGAAGCTACATTGCTCACACTTGCCCCACCTGCCCAGGGCCCTAGTGAGGCTAATGCCAGCCGTGCTTAGTGGCCCCTCATAAAATCTGCTAGCAGTCCTACAAAGCGGGGAGGGATAGCTCAGTGGTTTGAGCATTGGCCTGCTATACCCAGGGTTATGAGTTTAATCCTTGGGGGGAGGCATTTAGGGATCTTGGGCAAATATGTCAGGGATGGTACTTGGTCCTGTTGTGAGGGTAGGGACTGGGCTCAATGACTTCTCAAGGTCCCTTCCAGTTGTATGAGAGAGGTGTATTTTAGAATGTTCTCAAACCACTGACACAGACTACAAGTCCTGGCTTACAGTATTCTCTCTTATCAAATGGGGCTGCTCCATCATGTTGCATATTGGGACATGTAGTCTCCATAGGCTGAGCTTTGTATGTTTAAAAACAAAAGCAGCTGTGAAAGAGCCTGCAGACAGCTTTAAGATTTTGGCTGTGGATTGACTTGTATGAAGCCCTAAGAATTATGGGTGGAAGGGACAGTGGCAATCCTGTTCCTTGAGATCAAGCTTTCAGAGCAATGTGGGTTTTTACATAGTATGGTTATCCAAATCCCAGGGATTGAGTCCCATTTGGTAATACACAATATGGATTAAATTCACATTCAGTCCTTTAAACAAATGTGGGCTTTTACATAGTATGGTGATCCAAATCCCAGGGATTGAGTCCCGTTTGGTAATACACAATATAGATTAAATTCACATTCAGTCCTTTAAACTGCCTCATGCAGTTGCCATATAGTTTTGTGCTGCTGAAGCAACTACACTTAATAGTAAACCTAGAGCAGCTTTTCATGTGCCCTAGTGGATCTCTATGAATAGCATCACACATGGGTAAGACCCAACCACAAATGAGCTTCAAGGTATAGGCCAGGAAAGTATATTTAGCTGTTCCATTTATTGAAAGTCCTGAGCTTCAAGGTATAGGCCAGGAAAGAAGGATATTTAGCTGTTCCATTTATTGAAAGTCTTGAGTCTTCCAGGATATCTGGGGCATCGGGCCGGTAAACATGCTGATTGGGTGCCCAAGGATAAATCTGCGGTGCAGTGGCAGAGGAAGGGCTCTTTCCTGATGTACTGTTCCTTTTCTGAGGGAGAGACACAATGGATCTGTAAAATTGCAATATCCTTCTCACCAGGTTCTCAGTGTGATGTGGCAGCCCTCTGAAACATGAGGAAGCTTTCTGGTCTTTTTTTAGGCTGTGAAATTGCTGTTTAGTGAACAGAAAGGAGTTATAAGTCTTCCAAGAGCCTACTTTTCTTGTATTATTAAATAAAAAAGTCCCCTTTGATCATAAATCATAGGTGTTCTTGCATTTTATTTCAACTAAGCTAATTGAAATACCTGCTCACAGTTCAGAAATGCCTCCCTTTCACAGATTCATCTTAGTATAAACTAGACAGAGCACTACTCCTCTTTACTGACTGGCAACTACCTTCAGGGCCATAAAAGGTACTACTCTTTCTTCCATTAACCATGACAGTTTTCTAAATGAAATCAGGTGTGTCACTTCAAAGCACTGTGCATCTTTTCAATAACACTTACTGAGAAATGCAGATCCAGATGTCCAAAGTGGCCATCCACCAGTACTGCAGTACTCCACGTAGCTGGAGTGTTTAATGGGGTCAGTTCCTTTGTATCAGAAAAGTCTTAGAAAACTAATGACATTACCTAAATCCAACTCAAAATGACTAAGCACAAGGGCAGGCAATAATTTTTTATGTGGGGGCCAGTCCAAGAATTTGGAAGTGGTCAAGGGCCACACTTTTTCATTATATTAATGGAGGAAGTACAGGGGTATGGGATGGAATTTGGGTGCAGAAGTGACCATTGGGCAAGGGATTGGCGTGTAACATCTGGATTGGCAGGCCGGATCCAGCCCATGGACCATAGTTTGCCCAGCCCTGACTAAGCATTATGTTCAAAAGCTTCAGTGGGTAGCCAAGTTAGTCTGTAACAGGAAAAACTTAAAAAAACAAGAAATAGTCTGATAGCAGTTTAAAGACTAACAAAACACATAGATGGTGGTATGAGCTTTCATGGGCACAGCCCACTTCTTCAGATGACCGGAGTGTTGGCTGTCCAGAACCAAAATAAATGAGGGAAGACGAGAAGGGGGGGGGGGCAGAAGGAGGCAGACATGAACTACTTCAAGACAGACCCAAAAGAGAAAATAACAGAATTCTACTTGTCATTACATATAGTCCACAACTTAAACTCCTCCAACGGATTATCCACAATCTACAACTTATCTTGGAAAATGATCCCTCACTCTGAGGCCTTGGAGGGGAATTCTTTAAAGTGCTACCAGACTATTTGTTGTTTTTTAAATTTAAGCATGATGTGCCAATTTAGTCCTGAGGATGTTTGTCCAAAATGGTGAGTGTGGAAGAAGCATGGGCACAACTAGGAAACTTCCAAAGATCACAACAC